TGTGAATTTGAAAGGGGGGACAAGAAAAATTAGAATTATTAATGTTAGTTCTAAGGGCTGCCATGTTAGTTCTAAGGGCTGAACTGTTAGTTCTAAAGGCTGGACTGTTAGTTCTGAGGACTGGACTGTTAGTTCTACCAGCTTTTATGTTAGTTCTGTTATCTCTTACGTTAGTTCTACCCGCTTTCATGGTAGTTCTGTTATCTCCTACGTTAGTTTTGTTCGCTGTCATGTTAGTTCTGTCCATTCTACCTTCTTTATGAGAACATTATAAACAACAATATCAGGATGAACACCATTTTTAAGCATCATTCTATAAAGTTTAAACACAACAATTAGATTGTCATGCTTGCACAAGTAATCGACCAAACTACAGTATGCTACGACATCTGGCATAAATCCCCTCTTTAGTATTTGAAAGAAAATTATTGTTGCTTCCTTCAACATTCCTTGCACAACCATTCTCTTGAGAAAGATGGTGAAAGTAACTACATCGGGTATGAGCTTGTGTACTCCCAATTGTCTATAGATTTTATGTTGGTGAAAGTAACTACATGAATTAGAACTAGAACTAACATGAAGTGAGTTACAATCAACATAAAATGAGTTAGAACTAACAAAGAGCACAAGAGCCTAAAACTAACATGAATTAGAACTAGAACTAACATGCAATGGGTTAGAACTAACATGAATTAGAACTAGAACTAACATGCAGTGGGTTAGACAAAAAACGAGTTAGAACTAATATGAATTAGAACTAGAACTAACATGAAGTGAGTTAGAACTAACTTTAAATGAGTTAAAACTAACAAAGAGCAAGTTAGAACTAACTTTAAGTGAGATAGAACTAACAAAGAGCAAGTTAGAACCAACATAAAATTAATTAGAACTAACAAAGAGCCCAAGCGCCCCAAGGTCCAAGGTCCAATCAAAAACTTTTAAATATATATATTGTAGGTGTAGGGGTTTGAACTCTTGACCTCCTCTCCAAATTACCAAGCTTTACCACTAGACTAAGTAGCCAAAGTATTAATGTTAGTTCCACTTAAAATTAGCTCTTACTTGCCATTAGAACTAACATGAAATAAGTTAGAACTAACATGAGTTAGCTCATGATAGAATTTAAAAAATGGCATAAATAACTAGAGTTAGCTCATGTTTGTTCTATCGCAACTCATGTTAGTTCTAATTTTTACCAGCTCATGTTAGTTCTAATTTTTACTAGCTCATGTTAGTTCTAATTTTTACCAGCTCGTGTTAGTTCTAATTTATTTAATGCGTTAGTTCTAGCGTATATGTTGGGTCTAAACGTCATGTTAGTTTCAATTTATGCCATATTAGTTCTAGCTTCTCCAGTGTTAGTTCTAACAGATATCGTGTTAGTTCTAATTTATTTAAGTCGTTAGTTCTAGCATAATTGTCGGTTCTAAACGCCATGTTAGTTCTACTTGATGATGTGTTAGTTCTAGCTTCTCCAGTGTCAGTTCTAACAGGTATCATGTTAGTTCTAATTTATTTAATGTGATATTCCTAGCGTAAGTGTTGGGTCTAAACGTCATGTTAGTTCTAATTTATGCTATATTAGTTCTACCTTCTCCAGTGTTAGTTCTAACTAGTATCGTGTTAGCTGTAATTTATGTAATGCGTTATTTCTAGCGTACTTGTTGGTCTAAACACCATGTTAGTTCTACTTGATGATGTGTTAGTTTTAGCTTCTCTAGTGTTACTTCTATTTGGTATCGTGTTAGTTCTAATTTATTTAATGCATTAATTCTAGCGTAAGTGTTGGGTCTAAACGCGATGTTAGTTCTAATTTATGTTGTGTTAGTTCTACCTTCTCTAGTGTTAGTTCTAACAGATATCATGTTAGTTGTAATTTATTTAAGTCGTTAGTTCTACATAATTATTGGGTCTAAACGCCATGTTAGTTCTACTTAATGATGTGTTAGTTCTAGCTTCTCCAGTGTTAGTTCTAACTGGTATCGTGTTAGTTCTAATTTATTTAAGTCGTTAGTTCTAGCATAATTGTTAGGTCTAAACGCCATATTAGTTCTACTTGATGATGTGTTAGTTCTACCTTCTCTAGTATCAATTCTAACATGTATCGTGTTAGTTCTAACAGGAGCTCAACTAGAACTAATATAGCCATAGAACTAACGCTTATATTAGAACCAACACTAGCTGGAAGTAGAACTATCATGAAATCAGCTAGAACTAACACGAGAACCATCAGAACTAACATGAGCTCAACTAGAACTAACATAGCCACTATAACATGGTATAAACATATTAGTTCTACTTAAAGTTAGCTCTAACATGAATTAGAACTAAGTTAGAATTAACATAAAATAAGTTAGAACTAATATAAATAAGGTTTACAACTAGACCAAATAGCCTAAATTATTTATATTAGTTCTACTTAACATTAGCTCTAACATGAAATAGAACTAAGTTAGAACTAACATAAAATAAGTTAGACCTAACATTAAATAACTTAGAACTAACATGAGTTATTGCTCATGATAGAGTTCAAAAAAGGGCGGGAAATTCCCCTCTATTTTTTTTCCATTAGATCGCATTAATGAGCGTGACTTTCCATGTATTTTGTGGACCAGAGTCTGGGGAAGATAAGTGAAGGGGTAATTTCGGGTTTTTTTTCAAAATACAATATCTTTTTTTATACTGCTGACGTGGAGGGGCCTTGAAATATTAAATGGTACTTTTTAGGGCTGAATCACATGGGCCAAAATATAAGGGGGCGGGTCACATGAACTTTCTTATTTTGGGGTATGGACACATTTTTCCCTAAATATAGAGAAGTAGATATGAGCTAGTTTTCAACAATATCAAATAAAAACCAATACTGTTTGCCTACCCCCGAAAAAAAATCAATACTACTGTATGAAATATTATTACATTTTTTCATATGAAAATCAGAATAAGAAGGGAAAATCTCACATGAGGTTGGAGGACGAGGAGGGGGGTTACGCCTTTTAACTTTGGGCATTTCACAGATAATGCCCCTTAACTTGACACAAAACCAACCCTCTAAACTAATACTGTTACTTCAAACTTTCACTCTAATTTAAGGAGTTGAAGCTGTTAAGTGTGGCCATTTCTGAGATGACTCCCGTAGCTTTGGAAATATCATGATCCCCCCGTCCCCCAACCCCAAAACCCAACACCGAAAAAAAAAGAAAAAAAAAAGTTGTAGGGGCGGTTTTCCAAGAACCCCAGAACTTAAGGGGCTGTTTGGTTGGTTTCCTAAAAACCAAGAAAATGAAACCGGTACAAGAAAATCAATAAAATAATATTTTTATCCATTTCCATCCCTAAAACTCACCCACAACATCCAATAAAATATTATTTTTATCCTCCAACTCATCTCATTTCATCTCCTTTCTTACCTTTAAAAATAAACCAAACACTAGAAATGTGTCGCATCATCCAACTCATCACATCTCATTTTATCTTATTTTTAAAAATCATACACATCATCCAATAATATTATGACAACCCATCTCATCTCATTAAACATTCCTTTCTATCCATTTCCTCAAAAAAAAAACAAGAAATCAATTTTCTTAAGTACGTGTCACATCATCCAATAATATACCTCCAACTCATCTCATCTCATCTATTTTCTTATTTTATCATCCAATAATATACCTCCAACTCATCTCATCTCATCTATTTTCTTATTTTTAAAAACGAACCAAACAAAAACAACCTCAAAACATCATTCAATAATATACCTCCAATTCATTTCCTTATATTTTTAACCAACCAAACAACATCAAAATAAGTTTTTTAAAAAATCACTCATATCATCCAATAATAAGGTGACAACTCATCTCATCTCATCTCCTATTCTATAATTTCCTTCTTTTTTAAGCCAACCAAACAACTTCAAAATAATTATAATAGGAATTAGGTTTCCTATTTTTTGATTTCCTAGTTTTTTTTGCCAAACGAACAGCCCCTAAGGGTAGTTGTGTGACGTCTTTTTGAAAGTTCAAAGAGGTTATCTGAGAAACCCAACCTGAAGTGGAATTTGCGAAATTTACCCAGAAAAATCTTAATAAATGTCAGTTCATATGTATCAGGAACAGGGGCGTAGCCAGAGCTTGTTTGTCTTGAGCATCTGCCCAGGGCAAGAAACTCCGCCTCTCCTACGATCTCTCCCTCCTCTCCTCGCTTCCCCTCCTCTCCCGCCACTTCACCTCCCTCTCCCGCAGATCCAACCTCCTCTCCCTCCTCTTCCAGGACCTCCATCTCAACAATCCTCAGCCCTCCTTACTCTCCCGCGCCTCCCTCCTCTCACTCACGACATACTCGTAGACCACTTTTATTTTTCGTCCAATGCAAAAAATAATCCTGGCTACGCCACTTATCAGGAAGTCTGTAAACTAAAAATAAGGTATATAATTATTTTTTTAGTAATTACATAATAAAAGCACATGCTGATAAATCTTAGCTTTTTTTAGCTGCATGTCATCACTGTTTGAAGATCCATATACATGCGTGAGAGCAAATATGGATACACACGTCCGCAGTTATGGGTATGACAAAAACATATAGCCAACTTCCATTTAATAAAAAACATATAGCAAACCTAGTGAAAACAGTAAAATATTGAGAAAGGAAAAATATTATGAAAAAAAATAAGAAGGAAAGATATCATTTATGTACATATTTCTTAAATTGGAATGAGGAAAATAATTAATCCTTCCTAAATCAATGTCATTATTGATGTCTATTTATAACATGAAAGAATGATTACGTTCAGAAATATTTGGATAGAGTTTTGCAATAAATGTTATCGCAATTTGCCATTTCATTACACAAATTGTTGCTGACTAATTTTCATAAGGAGAAAATTCATCACACACCTCCATTAACAAAAAAATATACAGTCCGTAGACCTCAATATAGGAAGGATTTATTTCCCCCAGTATAAATACAAGGCACCAACCCCTCTCATTCTCATAACAAAGAAAAATCAAAGAAGAAAGAAAGTAGGAAATCAAATATAGTTCAAAAATGCAGTTCACTCAATTGTTTATTGTAGGGATAATTGCATTTTTTTTGAGAAGAGGAGATGCTGCAGTTGATTATAAGCAAGCTCTCACTAAGTCCTTGCTCTATTTTGAGGCCCAGAGATCAGGAAAATTACCGTCCAACCAAAGAGTCCAATGGCGCGGTAACTCGGGTCTTAGAGATGGTCAAGATGCAAAAGTGTGCTCCCCTTTCTTTTATTTTTTTTGCTTTTTATTTGTATGGTTTTTTTTTATTAAAAATGATAGTTTTTAAGGAATAGTTAACATGTGGATATTATTTGATTAGGTCCAAATTTTTGAAGAAAAATAATGAGTTGGGCCTATAGCTCCTTTTTAACATGAAAAACATAAGAATCTGAATTTCTAAATAAAGTTGATTTCTAAGTTAATATTACATATATAATATTAAACTGAATGTATGTGGAAGTGGTACATTTTAGTAAATTTTTTTTTTGTAAATATTCTGTATAGTTAATTTTCATGCTTGTATAAAGAAAAGAAATTATGTCATACACTAATCAAATTAGCTAGAAAATCAAATTTCTAGAATTTTATGACAAACTTCCAATAATATACCATTGTTTCCCCCTCCAAATAGATTGATCTCACCGGAGGCTACTACGACTCCGGCGACAACGTGAAGTTCGGATTCCCGATGGCCTTCACTGTAACTCTCCTCTCATGGAGCGCCGTCGAATTCAGTTCTCAACTCTACGCAAAGGGAGAGCTTCAGAACGCTCTGGCTGCGATCCGATGGGGAACCGATTACCTCCTGAAGGCCCACCCTCAGCCCGATGTTTTGTACGCCGAAGTTGGCGACGGGAATTCTGACCATGCTTGCTGGCAGAGACCGGAGGACATGACGACGCCTCGCAACTCGTACTGGCTCGGTGATTCGAAGCCTGGGTCGGATGTTGCAGGGGAGACCGCAGCGGCGTTGGCAGCGGCGTCAATTGTGTTTGGGAAGTCTGACGGGGGTTATGCCGGTCAGCTTGTTTCACATGCAAAACAAGTAAGGAGAACTCATATCTAAACGTTACCTTAGCTGAAAGAATTCAAACGCTTTGTAACGTCGTCTGGGTTGGACCAAAATAAAACCACTTAATTAATTAAATTAAAGCCAAAACTAGAGCCAGAACCTTAACAAGTTTCGGTAGGAGTGGCTAAATAGACCTATATTTAGTCTATACTACGGGTCTAAATACGCATATAATCATGTTCTGGGAGTATTTGTACTGGCATCTATACGTGTCACATTTGCGCTATCTAGCCCATGTCGAATAACATTATCTAATAAATAACAACTCTTTGCAACTAAATATAGAGAATATATTCTTTCTTAAAAGACATTAAAAAGGACAAACTTTCAAAACAAATCCTTTCTGAAACTTATTTTTAAAAAACGTCATGTTTCAACTTTAATTATCAAAACCGATCTAGTTTTAGCCTCATGGCTAAGACTGAGTCGGTTTTGGTAATTAAAGTTAAAAACATGTTGTTTTGGGGGAATATTTTTACAAAAGGGTTGGTTTTAAAAATTTGTCCCATTAAAAATATCCCCATAAGTGAGAGTAATTTTTTTAATAAAAAGTTATAACAATTATTAATGTTTATTTCGTTTTTTTCCGGTTGCTGTTGTAGTTGTTTGATTTTGCTCGCAACCATAGAGGGGTCTATTCGAACAGTATCCCAATTGTGCAAGGCTTCTATTCAAGTTCTGGGTTTGATGTAAGTAATTGGTTTCTTACATTTTTCATGGTTTAATTAATTTTTTACGTACGAATCGTTATTTATTTTATTTTTGTTGGGTACAGGATGAATTGCTTTGGGCCGCTGCATGGCTTCACCGCGCCACGGGCGATAAAACGTACTTGGATTTTCTTGGGCAAGCTACAAACACGGGCGGCACCCGTTCAGAATTCTCTTGGGATGACAAATTTGCTGGGGTCCAAGTTTTGGTCTCAAAGGTTCTGTTCTTAATATTCTTTTTAATATTGTATTCAATTCATTTCTTCATTTATATGTAGTCCCTCAAATCACATTAGTTATTTCAACTTAGTCCATCTGCTATCCTTTGACTTGCGGGATATTAATTAATTTTAACTTCTTATCACAAGGGTTTTTTAAATTTTGGGTCTTTTGAAGAGAAACGCCTAATTGAGGCAGAAATGTAATTCACCATGTGCGTTTAATAGCTAACCCAATCTCAGTTAGCAATTTAGGTCGAATATCACAGAGGTAATATGAAATGACTAATAAAATTCAGCTAAATATCATTTTAAATGATTTGAGCGGGCTAATTTCGCATGTTAAAGATTTCATGGACCAATATCCAAAAACCCCCAAATTATTCTTGTAATGGTTATAGTTTTCTTTTTAAATAACCCAGCCCGGAATCAAACCCAAAACTGTGAAAGCTATATTCGAACATTCTAACTGTCCGAATCACCTGCGGTGAGCGTTGATAATTTTCATTTATAATTGGAAAATTTTAGATGATTGAATCATACACCCTACAAAAGCTTCCATATTTGAAATTCAATCAAATGGGATGATGATCGGTGTAAAATTCCCATTTGCATGCAGCTGGTATTGGAGAACACAGTACCCAACAACGGGGTGTGGGCGCAATACAAGTCCAGTGCTGATCAGTTCATCTGCAACGTAATCCAAAAGGGAAGCAGCAACACTAAGAAAAGCCCCGGCGGTCTTCTGTGGTTTCTACAATGGAACAACTTGCAGTACACCACCGCAGCCTCGCTGCTCGTCGCTGCTCATGCCGATCATCTCGCCGCTGCTCGTGCTTCTCTCCAGTGCCCTGCCGGTGCTGCTTCGTCAAATGATCTCCTCAATTCTGTTCGAGGCCAGGTAACCACCTTGTTTTCGCTTGTAATCTACAATAATAATAGATAGTTGCAATTGGGAAAGTAAAACTTCTCGTTAATCTAAGAGGTAATCGTGTAATATTTTAAATATAAGTAATATCTTCGTTAGGAAAAGAAACCATGTTCATTAATCTTCACAGTAGATATGGCTGGGTTATCCCATATATGCGCTTGAATTTATTACATGAAATAAACAAAAAAGGTTACTTATATAGACCTAAATAGTCCATTTTAACTTTTATTTAGAAGAGTAGCACATATTAGATGATAGATTATCATTGAGTAATGGAAATATCACTATTTTTAATCACCATCGCTTTATTATTTGGCTGAAGATAGTTATTTTTCTTGCATAAAACCTCGAAAATGAATTTTATACATCAAAAAATATGCCAAGGGCTAATCGCAACTGTCCACTAAACAACAAGTGACCATGATTACAGGCTGATTACATCCTGGGTGTGAACCCACTCAAGATGAGTTACATGGTCGGGTTCGGACCGAGCTACCCAACACGAGTTCACCACAGAGCCGCATCGATCCCATCCATCAAGATGGAGCCGACTCCGATCGACTGCAAGGGCGGGTTCAGCAAGTACTTCAATGCCAACACTCCCAACCCCAACATCTTGGACGGCGCCGTCGTCGGCGGGCCTGACGCCAACGACGGGTACACGGACTCTAGGTCTGATTACAATCAGAATGAGCCTGCTACCGTGACGACTGCAGCATTCGTTGGAGTTCTAGCTAGGCTTGCTTAATATTGTTGATGAATTGAGTCGAGCTTTGTCACGATTTTGAAGTTTGTTACTCAAGTTTGATTATTTACTCGGTAATGATGTAAGTCATTATCAATAAAGAGCTACCTTGTGAGTATTTTCTGATCTCTATATGGGTTGCACGTTTTTTTTTCCCTCTCTCTCTTTCAAATCTGAGCCGCGACTAAGGTCGGCTACAAAAGGAGGGGACGTACTTTTCTTTAGAAAAGATGGTTGGTAGACGAGTTTCACGTGGTCTTGCTAATAATATTTAGCTGGATAAATATATCTAGCTGGACAAATATCCCAAAGGACGGTGAAGCATTGGTTTGTTAAGGGGCTGTTTGGTTGCATACTTTTTGAGAAAACTTTTCTCAAAATATCTGACAATGGCAAATTTGTAATTAAAAGTTTTCCGGAGATTTCTGTAAATTGTGTTTGGTTCAACAAAAAATTTACAGAAATATTTTCTATAAAATATCAAAACCTACCAAATTTTACAAAAAACAATTTCCTCTCAAAATGAGAGGAAATCACCAGAAATCTGACACATACCATATTTAATTAAAAATTACCAAATCTTGTTATTTTCTATAAAGTTATGAGCTATTTTCTTGTTTTGAACCAAACAAGCAAAATACAAAAAACAAGAAAATTGATACTTTTTGATTTCTCAAAACTTTTTCTATAATTTTTTTAAGAAATACAAAGAAATCATATTTTAGGTGGAAAACATTTCCTATAATTTCTAGAAATTGAACCAAACACCCCCTAAGAGGCAAGGTAGAGAAGGGCAAGAAATATTATTAAAAAAATGATTTTTGGTAGGGAGGTTTTAGAAGGCAAGGTGGAGTAGAGTAAGGATTTGATTGGTGATTTTTCTCAACTGATAAAGAAATATCATTCCGTGTTAAAAATCAATCTCCAGTGATTTCCATATGTTGCCCAGAAATGATTTTTTTTTTCTTTTGCATTAAAAACACTGGGGAAATAAATTAATTTCCACACTATTCTCTTATTTGGATGGATATAAAAATCAAGGGAAACATTTGGTTACGAACTAGACTTCTTGAGTTTTTAGTGTTTGGTTGATTGTGAAATATGTTAATTTGGACAAATGAATATAGTCACCATGGTGAGATTACCTCTCACAAAAGATAAATATTTTTGTTACCATTATGGGCGGTATCCATACCCGTAAGCAATGAAACAAAGTCCTATTAGGACAATGTTCAAGATTGGGCAATTGTCAAATTGAGGCCAAATTGAGGCAACGCTCAAAATTGGACTTACTTGAGCTTATAAATTCATAGCTCATATAAGTTTATTACACATGAACTATTTGCATGAGGTGAAATTTTTTCAAAAATTACAAGAATCAACGTCAATGATCAAACCTGAGGCTATGAAAGATTATGAAGTTAATATTTGTCCAACCAGCAAAAAAGTGTTTCACTTTGATTCTCATCAAGGCTCTTGTCAATCATAAGAATAAAAACATATGCCAATTAGTACATGCGTTAGCCAACAATATGAAGGATATAATTGCAGTACCGCAAAAAAACATCCAACATAAGGCATGTGCATTGTTCTTGACATAATTAGACATAACCACATTAACTACTACACAACATTCATAGTTTTCATCATGTACATCATAAACCACATAAACAAGTTAAACAACAAAGTATTGAGCATACAACAAGCTCACTTACATATAAAATAAAACATAGTAAATTGTTCTAGTCAAAAGTAGAGGTAACCACATATTTCACACAATTTGAAGCTGGATTTAGTAGTTAGTATCCCAAAAACATCATATTACCATCAAAATCAAAGAAAGTGAGAAACCCAAAGCGTGTTGAAAACCCAAAAGCATGATATAATCATCCTCAATCCACTTTAGATGTATTTATTTGACGGACCAAAAAACTTTTTAGCACTTCCTTTTGCATAATATTTGGCCTCCCAATAAATAGCCTAGCTTGTGATTTATTGGTATTCAATTGTCCATAAAATTTATTAAGGATGACAATAGGAAACTCATCTTCATGTGCAAACATAGCATTGGCCAACTTCTCTGTCCAATGCATATTTATATTTTTTTTAAAGAGGAAGAAAATATTCTTACCTCATCCACCATCTCACACATGAGCTTAATGTCAACATTAGGCTTTATTTTTTCCCTTGGTAGTTATTGTGTTACTACCTTTTGCATTGTTCAAACTACTATTAGGCTTAAATATGGTGGGCATGTATGGTTCCTTGGTTGAATTAGGGTGTCATTGTCATATTCGAATTGAAAAGTGGGAGAGTCTTGGTTGGAGATAGATCCATCATCATCTTCTTCTAGATTAATAGTAGAACTACCCTCAAAATTTTTATACACATCTCTTGCATAGTCCCTTTTGGCTTGATCATCACCAATAATTATGCAAAATCATAATATTTTAACGGCTTGTTGATTTACTCCCTAAGCTTAGAGCTACTAAGAGTCTTGTCCAGCATGCCATAAATTTTAGGAGTTTGTTATTATGATCACTAACTTAGAACTTGCAATAATGACAAAGATATATTGCTAGTAATATTTAATTCTAGCCATCTATCAAAATAGTTAGAATCCCTTTTGATGGTCATTGTCTCTTCATTCCATTCAACAACACTAAGGGCTTGTTTGGATTGAGGGGAATGAGGGTGAAGGGAAGTTAGGGGAACCATTCAACTCCATTCACCTTGTTTGGGAACACTTAGGAGGTGAAGTTAATTCACCTCCATTCACCTTGGTTCACCCCCTAATAGTATAAAAATTATTACCCCCCAAATTGGGGTGCAACCAAGGGGAAGGGAATTCCCTTCCCTTCCCTTCCCTTCCATTCACTCAGTTTCCCTTAACTTCCCTTCACCCCCTACGAATCCAAACAGGCCCTAAGATTATAATGTGATCGCATATCTAACCTTGTATTGAGACATTTCATATGATTCATTACATTATCTCCATCAAAGCTAGTATTGAATGCTTCATTTACCACACCGACTACCATATTATAAGCTAGTTTCTTGAAGCTTTTGTCCACTAAAAACCCCCTTTTTGGCCAAGCCTGCAAGATAGGAAATATGCACATTATCGTATTGCATGTCCCAAAATTTGTGTTTAGAACCTTTTTTTGTACTTTAACATTCTTTCTTGCCTTTTTAACAAGCATTTCTTTTCTTTGTTTGTTTTGGGCGATGAAGTTTCACCACCTTCAGGCCCATGCTCCCTTATCTCCTGATTTACTTGGAGATATATGATCAATGTTATTATGAGGGCTTTGAACATGTTGATATAAAAGTGGAGGTGCATTGAGCATTGTCATGAATGAGGATGGTTGATGTTGCATTTGAAAGTATGTACCATTCAAATTAAGCGTGTTGATAAATGCATTAGGAGTTGATAACTAGGATATGAAACTCATGTTGAACCCACATGGTAATGTGCTCCTTGGAGTTCTTGGATTTGGGGAGGGATTTTTACTTTTACCACTGCCATTGTTAACTCTAGCAGAATTCAAGTTGTCAGAAAAATAAAGGAATGTATACATACAATAATTGTGAGTAAAGCATATGTCATCAACATTAGTAAAAAATTAATAAAAAAACAAAATAATAAAATCACATACACAACAACAATCATATTAAGGAAAAAACATGCAAGCAGCTACCACACAAGTAGTAAACAGTAGTTTTACACACTTGCTCATGTCATAAAGTATGTTATCAACTGCAAACTTAAACATAGAGAAAATATAATGTCATAACAGACATCATTATAAATATCCCCTAACACTTTGATCAAATTCAAGTTTCCATAGTGTACCATCCATAATAATCGACCCACATTTCTTATGTTATTTGATCTCTAAGTGCCTTCCAATCATTTCTTAATTGTATTTTCCCCCTTTTAGTTTGAGTGAAATCAACTGCATTGCGTTCATCTTTATTTGCTATGTCACCATCACCCTCTTCAATGTTGATGGCCTCATTTAGTATGTCATCATTAGGGTCAACAATTGCAATGTAACTATGGAGAATCATGCAGGCTAAGACAATATCTATTTGTGCCGAAAAAGGATAATGGGTGTTGATGTCCAGGGACTCAGCAACGAGACTAGAGGATAATCCCAAATCAGCAGCCGAAGTCGATATGGATGATATAGGTGTCCCTTCATCTCCTTTTGATGGCTAGCCCCGTTAGGATAAGAGAGCCGCAAAACTATAACAACGTTAGAGAACTAGAGTTAGGTTCTCTGATAATTCCACCGACAATCAAGTCAGTATAGACCTTGAGTGAGGAATCAATGAACCGAGTAAGTTCTGTGTGTGAGTGTGTATTATTTAGCAGTTGGTCACCCTATTTAGCCGGAAAAATGGTGTTATTTAGCTAGAGAGGGCTTACCTTTGGTCAGTAGGCATACATATATATATGATCAATGTTATTATGAACCCGAAAAAATCGGTTTTATGAGTAGGGTGGTTCGGATCGGTTTGAAAACTTTTTAACCCGAACCGACCCGAACTGACCCAATATAGTGCAATACTACCCATTCTGATCTCAAACCCTACTCGACTCGTCCCCAAAGAGTCAAAGACTCAAACCCTAAACTCATTTTCTGAATCATTATAGGTTGAAAATAATATCATTATATCAATGTTTAATGCTTCATAATCTCCTACTTTGTTGATATCTTTTTTCCTTTAACACAGTTTGTTGTTTGATAAGAAGTTTAATGAAGTTAGAACCGAACAAACCGAACCGAACCGAACCGCACCGAACCGACTTGCAACAGTTCGGTTCGTGAATTATAGGCGGTTCGGTTCGGTTGTTCAAATTTTAGTAAAAACCGAACCGAACCGACCGTTGCACACCCCTACTTGGTACCAAGCATAAATTTTGTGCTTGGTAGTGAGGTATCATAATCCCCTCCACTCATTCAAATAGGAGATCACATTCACATGGGTTGAGGAGTGCATAGGGATATGCAATTATTTGAATGAGTGGAGAGAATT